ATATATATATATATGCATGCATGCCTGTATGTATGTTTGTACATGTACGTACATGTATATACATATAACGGCGCACCGGGTCCGGGGGCCCGGGGCCGGGACCCCGACCACAAATGTGAGCCCCGGGGGGCCCGGAGGCTCGTCGGGGCTTGCCGGAGGCCTCCCCAGTCAGACAAGACGGCCCAAGAAGCGCCCAAGACGGCCCAAGAAACTTCCAAGAGGCCTCCAAGAGGGCTCCAAGATGCTGAAGATGGCCTCCAGACGTCCAAGGACGCCCCCAAGAGGCCCCAAGAAGCCTCCAACATGCGTCCCAAGAGGGCCCCTAGACGCAAACATTGGCCCATTCCCTTCGTAAAACGTACATTTTTCACAAAGTTGCTTTTTGGGCTTTCCGACGTTACAGGACGGCCCACGAGGCGCCCAAGACCGCCCCAAGACGGCCCAAGAAGCTTCCAAGAGGGCCCAAGGACAGCCCAAGAGGGCCCCAAGACGGCCCAAGAGGCGCCCAAGATGGCCCAAGAGGGCCCCAAGACGGACCCAAGAGGGGGCCCAGAGGGGGACCACGAACCGCACGCTCGAGCCTTCCGCCCCAAGAGGCCGCCAGGAGGCCCCAAGGAGGCCCCTCAAGAGGCCCCAGGAGACCCCCAAGAGGCCCAAAGGAGGCCCCGAGAAGCCCCAAATCGGCCCCCAAAATGCTTCGAACCTGCTTCCAGGAGGCCCCCGACAGGTTCAGAGGCTCCCGAGAAGCTACGTCAAACTCCCAGCGAGAATGATCCTAGCTAGAACCTAAGCGCGCGCGAAGCGCGCGCGTGGTTCTAGTCTGTATGTATGTATGCATGTATGTATGTATGCATGTATGTATGTATGTATGTATGTATGTATGTATGTATGTATGTATGTATGTATGTATGTATGTATGTATGTACAGATGTATGCATGCATGCATGCATGTCTGTCTGCCTGTCTGTCTGTCTGTATACCTGTATGGCTGTATGTTTGTATGTATGTTTGTATGTGTGTTCGTTTGTAACATGTATATGTATATACACGTGAAGACAGCACATGTGTACACGTACATCTGCATCTATCTATGCGTATAATGGGTTTTATCAAGGAATAGTGATAGGAGGAGGAGCAGGAGGAGGCGGACGACGAGGAGAAGGAGGAAGAAAGAGAGGGATGAATAATGGAGGAGTGTGACTTTGAAGATCTGCTCAGTCCACGGGGGCTCGATATGGAACGCGATTTGAGAGTGGGTCGACTTCCAAGCACGACTCGCCCTGTCATCCCTTTTCTGTGGGTTTGGTGTGGCCTCGTTTTGCCATGGCGCCATGGCGAATCTGCTTCGCAAGAGACAGAGATGCAGTGCAGCATTCTGCGACGAGCAGCTCCATATCCCAAATCAGGAAGTCTAGCATGCAGACCTACACCCGCCATTGGGCCCTGGCGGAAATTTGGCCACGCTCTGCCACTGTGGGGGTGCTGGAGTCGGCTTTTTTGGGGGGCCCTTCGCCGATCTCGCCCAAGTGTTCGGGGGGACCGCGGGGGACGGACGACGCTCGCCCTTCCCCGCTCTCGCTCCTCCGAGCGGCTACCGGCGCCGAGGGCAGCTTCCCGCGCGCGAAGTGCTGCCGCTCCGCCAGGGATCTGGGGGACAACGAGCTGGCGGCAGCGGCTCTCCTCAGCGCCAGCCAGGCGGGGATCAAGCTGGGGGACGCTCACAGCCTAAAGGAGGCGCTCGCGCTTACGTCGTGCATTTTGCCGCCCCTGCCCTCCCTCTTGCCGGGCTTCGAGTGTGCTGTCAGATCTGTGCCGGTGCTGACCAGTAACCGTTATAGCAGGCGTCTTTGGCCCCAAATGTTCTGTCGACCCATCCTTCCCTCTCTCCCTTTCTTTCTTTCTTTCTCTCTTTCTCTCTCCCTCTCCGTCTCCCTCTCCGCTTCCCCCTCCGTCTCCCTCTTCGTCTTCCACCCTCTCCCCCTCCCCGTCCCCGTCCCCGTCCCCGGTCTCCACCGCCCTTCTCCCTGTCCCCCTTTCGCCCTGCCTTCCCTGCTCCCCATCGGTCTCAGTCTCCGTCTCCTCCACCCCCCCAAGTCCACAATTGATGATGATGCTGATGCTGATACTGATGCTGATGCTGATGCTGATGCTGATGATGATGATGATGATGATGATGATGATGATGATGATGATGATGATGATGATGATGATGATGATGATTCTGATGATGATGATGATGAGGAGGAGGATGAGGAGGAGGAGGATGAGGACGATGAGGACGATGATGGTGATGATGATGATGATGATGATGATGATGATGATGATGATGATGATGAGGAGGAGGAGGAGGAGGAGGAGGAGGAGGAGGAGGAGGAGGAGGAGGAGGTTAGTTAGTGTTTGGCCCAGGAGAAGGGAGAGAAGCCCGCAGCGAAGACCGCAGCCCAGGTCGTCCACGGGGGGCGCAGAAAAGGCAGACGCCTGCGCCCTCGCCCCTCGCAGCCCGGGCCAGAGAGGTGCCCTTCCCCAGCGGCGGTGCGAGCGCGAAGGGAACCGCGCGTCGCGCCTCGCGCGCGGCGCAAGGAGCGGGGGGCGTGGCAGGTCTTCGCCTCCTCGTCCTCCTCCTCTTCGTCCTCCCCGTGCTCCTCGTCCTCCTCGTCCTCCTCGATCTCTTTCTCATCTGCCTCCTCCTCTTCCTCCTCGTCCTCCTCCTCGTCCTGCTCCTCCTCGTCCTCCTCCTCCTTCTCCTCCACCTCCTCCAGCTCTTCGAGGGGCGTGTCCCCGCGGGTGACCGAGGTCCACCTCCTCCTCCTGTGAAGTCAAAGCAGCACGATGACTTTGCCCTGGCTGCTGTTAGCAGCGCGAAGCTCAGTTAAAACCTGGTTGGGTCTCTGGGCTGGCGGGCCTGGGCGCGAGGCGGGAAAGATGCCACGTAGCGTCTGAAAAGTGCTGGCGGGCCACAGGATCTTACCGTCCGTCCTCCTCCTCCTCCACCTCGTCCTCGTCCTCCAACTCCTCGAGCTCTTCGAGGGGCGTGCCTCCGCGAGTGACCGCGGTCCACCACAGCAGCTCTCCAGAGGGGCTTCGGAGGTCCCCACACAGGACTCCGGGGAGGCCTCGGGAGGCACGGCGAGGCAAGGAGGCGCTCGCAGGAAGCGTTTGGTCCTCGATCGCAGGCCGAGGCTGCAGTGGGGCCGTCGGAGCGCCAGGTGCAGAGTAGCGGAGACCAAGAGGCTCGCTTTGCCCCGCCGAGTTGCACCGTCTGGAGGCGTGTGCGCCCCCCCTGCCCCTCCCCTGGGCACCACCCAAACCTACTTGCACCGCGTGTGCGTCGCCCCCCCCCCCCCCCCTCCCCCCCTCCACCCCCAGGGGCGACGCGCGCGCTCAGCAATCTTGCAGCATTCGCTCGTTGGCGGGCGCTCTTCTGGCCACGCCGCAGCGGCATGCCACAAGCTGCTTTTGCTAGATGTTTGGTTCGACTGTGCGCCTCCGAGGGGGGCGCACAGTGCTAGTATGTCCTTTGCGTTCCCTCCTCCTCGCTGGCTGCGGGTGGGGTGGGGGGAGGGCTCGATCCTCGATCCTCGATCCTCGAGCTTCGACTCTCGGTCGGTGTCCGAGGCGCCCGACCGGCGCGCAGAGGCCCGCGGAGGCCTCCAGCGGCTGGTGGATCACCCTTCCTACTCCTCCTCTTCCTCCTCCTCCGCCTCCTCCTCCTCCTCCTCCTCAGGAACCTCCACCGAGCCCTGAGCCCTGAAGAGGAGGGTAGACCCTCGTCTTCGGAGCTCTGTGGCACCTGCGCCCACTTGAGCACCCACCAGAGAGCACCCTTCCTCCTCACCCACCAGGGCACTCCAACCCAACCCGAAGGCCTCAATTTGCCCTCCATTTCCAGTGGGGGGAATGGTCGGGGAATGCTGAGAAAGCACAGATGGAACCCGTAAGTACCTTCCCCCCAGCCCGACATTCGGGTCCTCGGGTTGGGTTGGGGTGGCCTGCTGGGCAGTCGTCCCCCTGCACCCTGACAGACAGACCCTCGTCTTCAGGGCTCGGTGGCGCCTGCGCCCGCGCGCGAGCAGTGCTGCCCAGGGGCTCGGCCGCGGGGCCCACGCCCCGAGCGCGTGCCGCTGCCAGCGCCACCCAGGCCTGCTCGTGCTGCGCGTGGGCGCCGCCCGTGGGGTCGCGCCCTGTCGCCCCGGCCCCGGCCCGCCGCCGCGGTCCCCGCTGCCTTTGTCGGGCCGCCGCGGCCCGTTCGACGCGGAGCTCTACCACGTCTGAGCTCGGGGCTCACGAGACGGGGGTCCATGCAAGCAGGGGTCAGCCAGAGCGCCAGATCCTGCAGGATCCTGCAGGGCCAGGGGCGCGCTGACCCGGGCTTGGGTTCAGGATCCTGCAGGATCTTGCAGGATCTGGCAATGCCTGATTGACATGGGTTTGGATTGACCCGGGTCAGAAGATCCCCGATGAGCGCTTTCCCCTCCTTCTCCCCCCGCGCGGCCGCTCTTGTCTTTCTCCCCCCTCTTGCATCAAGGGAAGGAAAAACCACCCAGACCCGATAATTGGCGTTTACTACAAGGCCCTGGGCGTTTAGTAAACAGCCCTGCCCTGTTCGATTCCTTCTTTGGGTGTGTTTGCTAAACGGCCTCGCTTGTCGGGGTGGTTATTATGGGGGTGTTTTGTTTGCCCTCTACTGCACGCCGGCCAATTCTCATTTCGGTTGCCCCGAGTTTGCCCCACGCTGGAGCGGGCTCCTTCTGCCTCGCAGCCGACGAGAACGTTCAGAAGTCTTCGGTGCGCCCTTGGTTGCCGGCCATATGCCGCTGGGGTAACGATACACTGTACTATTCCAAGGAAGGCACATAGTACTGGTATGTCCTTCTGCGCCCCACATTGGGCCATCGTGTCGAAGGCGGACCTGCCGTCAGAGACGGCGTCAGCGTCAGGCCGCTTGGCGGCGCCCCGCTGGATTCTGGGGCCTTCCCTCTCGCTTCAGGGTCGTCCCAGAGATGGAAGGTGGTCAAAGAAACTTCTGCAGTGGCAGCCATTTGGCGCTCGGTGACGAGGACGACCGCACGGACGGTGGGCAGACTGAGGTGCAGGCGGGCGTTCTGAGGCAGGACGACGCTCTGCATTTTTCCCCAGTGCCCGGCAGCCCCTCGTGGGCGCGGACCTCCGCGCGCATGCCTCTCACCGAGCGCGTCCCACTTCTCGCAGAGTGCCTACGCGCAGACGTCAGACACACAAAACCTTCTCCGATGTAATGCCTCGTGAATCATTGGCGGCGGATCCAGACCATCTGCGAGTAGCTCCTCTGCGAGTCGTGGAGCGCGCCTGCCTGGCCTCGCTCGCTCGCCTCGGGGCCCTCCCCCTCCGCCTCCCCTGCTGCGGGCCAGGCGCTGCGGCGTGCCGAGGACGCGCTGTCCTTCTTCCAGGTCGTGGGCGACCCCAAGCAGGACCCCCCGGGCCTCCCGCGGTGCTCCGCTCCCTTCGGTGCCCCCTCTCGCCGCCGGGCGCCGTCCTCCTCCCCGTCCTCCCCCTCCTCCTCCTCCTCCTCCTCCTCCTCCTCCTCCTCCTCCTCCTCCTCCTCCTCCTCCTCCTCCCCCTCCTCCCCCTCGTCCTCCTCCTCCTCCTCCCCCTCCTCTTCTTCCGCGATGACGCGCTGCGCGCTTCGCAGTCTGTCGGCGGCGCGCCGAGGGAGGAGGCGAGAGGGGGCAGGCCTTCTCAGAGGGCGGCGGGGCTTCTCTGAGGCCCTTCCGCCCTCGCGAGGCCCCTTGGTGCTTGGAGGAAGGCTCGGAGAGCTTGTCAGGAGGCCGGAGGCCTTCTGGGCCTTCTGAGAGTGCTCGCCCGCATATGCCTTCGCCCCCCGCGCGCGCCGCCGAGCCCGGGCTTGGGAGTTGCTTTTCTCCAGGGCGGCTGCGCGAGAGCGCCAAGACGACCGCGGTTCGCAGTTCGCACGGCGCGAGGCGAGAAGTTGGATGACTTGGGTGCCTAGTTACCCCTCGGTCGCCGCCGTTCTCTAGCGCTTCTCGCCCATCGCCCGCTGCACCGCCGTTCCCCGCCCCCTGGTATCGTTGAGCGGCATCGGATTCCTAAGGGCAGAGCATTTATCAGAAGGAGCTGGAGGATGAGAGCGAGGGCGAGGAGGGGGAGGACGAGGAAGGGGAGGAGGGGGGAAGAAATCTGCGATATCGGCATAGGTGTCATTTCTCTCACTCTGTATCTCTTCCGCGACGTGCCAGAGCATCGGTCAGCCGACCCCTTCGTGTTTAGCTGAATGTTGTGGCACTGCAGCGGGAGAGAACGGGTTCGGATCGATCCAGCATCTGCGGGTTATTGGGGAGGAAGGAAAGTGGTGCGGGAGTATGACTTCAGTCGAACATTCACCAGGGCAAGCTTGTTCAATCTTCGTTCCATTGAGACTTGTTTTGGCTCCCTCCCTGCCAAAGCCTGTCCTTGCATCTCACCGTGCTACTCCTCTTCTGAGCTGCATCTGTTTCCGCAGCCCTCGATCCTCCGTGCGGAACGCGCGGATGCGAGCAGGAAGCGTCCACGCTGCTGGTGATTGCGAGGATACACCTCCAGAGATTAGACACCGAGGAGGCGGTCCAGAAGGTGGATGCGGCAGTCAAGCTGTCCAGAGACAACAATTTCAAGGAGACGGAGGCGGGGCCTCGGCATTGCAATGCGTGCCTACAGGAGGAGGCTGGCAGGAAGAGGAACAGGAGGAGGAGGAGGAGGAGGAGGAGGAGGAGGAGGAGGAGGATGAGGAGGATGATCAGGAGGGCTAGTATGAACTGGATGTAACTCCCGTCCTGGGATTCATCGCTTGGCGCGGTCAGAGTAACCAGGGATTTCCAGACGGTGCACTGGACCTTTCTGCAGCTCTAGTTTCGGTGCTTGGAGATATTTCTCCTGGCTTGCATTTCCGTGCTCTGCTTTGGTCTGCATGATCTGAGTTCTTGATATCGCTGTGTTGCTTCACCTCCTCCGCTGTCCTCGATGTGTGATGACCTCTCCGTGCGTTGTCCTGCTTTGCTATGCGTCGCTTCACTCGGTGTGAGCTGTTCCGTTTGTCCTGGCATGCCCAGTCCTCGCAGTTTCGTTCCACCTTGCGCCAATTGTTTTTTTGGCTTGCCCCGCAGTGCTTCGCTCTTTTCCCACATTTAGGCATCGCCCAATGGGGTCCTAGACTTCTCGCGTGCAAGAGCATTCCCTAACGCAATGCACTGCAACGCGTACGAACGCTATACAGCTCGATGCGTAGCATTGGGATACACAGCAACGCAGTGAATCAGTTCGCATCACAACACAAAGAAAGGTGGAGCAATTGAGCGCCATATTTGACGGACAGTCAGCTCAAGGCATGGCAGTTCAGAGAGGATCAACGTAACGCAAACCAAATCAACTCAAACGCACATCCATGCAATCTAATGCACTGCGGCCCAACGCAATGAAGAGCAATGCAGCGTACTGCAACACTATCCACGGATGTACCCAACCCATGCCGTAAGTGGCAGCTTCAACGGGCCGATCCGAGATTATCGAGTATTGAAAAGGGCACGCGCCCCTTTGCGAACTCTTCACAGGAGACCTATACGTTGCAGATGTCTGGTGCCCCATTGCCCTTCCCCTCGCCTTTCGTCGTTGAACCTGGATCATCGAACTTCGATTCTCCAAACTCGAGGTCTGAGGTTTCTGGGGGTTTCCGGCGCTTTCGTTGGACTCCTTGGGTGCCCTTGTTGCCAAGGCTGGGTCCACCGCAACATTTTTGGTCAAAGCGCACTTCTCGAGAGGTCCAGGGGTTGATTTTTGAGGTCGTCGTCGTCGCCGTCGTCGATTTACCTTCCACCTTTCCTCTTTTTGCCTCATTTCCCCTTCCCTCCTTCCCCCTTCCCCTCCTTGCCTCCCACATCCCATCCTGCGTCACGCCTTCCCGCGCTTACTTGCTCCCGACCTCCCCTCCTCCTTCCTCTCGTCCCCTCCCTTCCCGTTCGGCCAACCAGTCCGATTCCTTCCTCTCTCTCTCTCTCTTTCCTCCCTCCTCCCTCCTCGCTCATCTTCCTTCCCTCTTCCCTCCCCCCTCCTCCTCCCTCCCTCCTTCCCACTGCCTCCTCCCTCTTCCCCTCCCCACCCCTCCCCTGCCTCTATCCTCCCTTCTCCCTCCTCCCTCCTCTTCCCTTGCCCCCCCTTCCCCTCCCCTCCCTGCTCCCTCCTCCTTCTCGTCATCCAAAACTACCACGACGAACACAACGACGATGACGACGAAGACGACCACGACTTCAGCGACGATGGCGACGACGACGACGACGAGCGTTCTCCGAAGGTTGCCACGATTCTCCAGGGCCCTCCGAAGGTCCCCAGAGGCCTCCAGGACGACGGACTGCGACGGCCTCCAGGGGTCTCCTGAGGACCCAGGTGGCCTCCAGAGGCTAACTTCGATCCCAGATCCTCGATCGAACGACGACGACAACGATTGATTGACCGATTGATGACGGCGACGACGACGACGACGACTCGACGACGACGATGACGACGACCGAACGATGACGATCGAAAGAGACGGCGACTGATAGATTGACGAGAGTGTCGACCGATCGCCGACCACGACGACGGTCGATCGACCACGACGACGACGGTCGAACGACGACCATCATCGAACCACGACGATGGCTACGACGATGCAGCGATCGATGACGACAGATCGAACGGTCGACGCTGATCGAGCGACGACGATGACGCTCGAGCGATCGAGCGATTGACGACGACCGATCGAACAATCGACGACCATCAAGCGACGACGACGACGAGCGATCCATGGAGCGACGGACCGGCGGAGCGGTGGCCGGCCCGGCTCCCGAGGCCGCCGGGCTGCGGGAGCTGGCGGCGGTGGCGCTGCGGGAGGAGGGCCCGGCGGGCGCCCGCCGAGCGGCGCCGTCGCCGTCGCCGTCGCCGTCGCCGTCGCCGTCGCCGTCGTCGCCGTCGTCGTCGTCGCCGCCGCCGTCGTCGTCGTCGTCGTCGTCGTCGTCGTCGTCGTCGTCGTCGTCGGCGAAGGTCGATCGTCGTCGGCGTCGTCGCCCTTCGATGGCAACATCTTTTGTTGGAACGAAAGTGCGACGGAAGGATGTTTGCCATTTCTTCAGCTCGCCATCATCGGCCGAAATGCCTCTTAGAGGCCTTGAGCCGCGTGTGCCTGAGACGAGGGGGGAGGAGGATGAGGGTGAGGATGAGGAGGAGGAGGACGATGAGGAGGAGGAGGATGACGATGAGGATGAGGAGGACGAGGAGGACGAGGAGGAGGAGGAGGAGGATCAGTGTAAGCCCAATATTCATCAACGATGTTGCAATAAACCTTCCCTCCAAGCTCCCTCGTCATAAGGCCCTACAAGGGTTCATTTTCACTGAGGGAAGTGCCCCGTTTGAAGACAACCGATTGAACATCCCGAACCGTGCCATAGCACCATTCTTGGGACTTCAACGCTACGAATCAACCTTACTGCTGCGTCTTCACGCCCCTGAATCGTGCCAGAGCACCATTCCTGGGAGTTCAACACCGCGAATCAACATGATTGTTGCTTCCTGACAGTCCTGCATCGTTCCACAACATTGTTTCTGGGACGTTAGCCACCCGACTCCCTGAAACTCTTGCAACTTGTTAAGACGAGTGTGCGCGGAGCTATTGCGAGAGCCACGTTTTGAAAAAGAGCCGCCCTGCATCCGTCACATTCCTGCTTTTTCTTAAACGAATGTGTGCGGCGCCAAGGCGAGAACCGCATTTTGATAGCGGACCGCCCTCCATCCATGAATCTCTTTTGAGACGAATGAGCGCGGCGCCGGGGCGAGAGCCGCATTTTTGAAAGCGGACCGCCCTACATCCGTGAAGCTCTAGCGTTTCTGAAGACGAATGCGCGCGGCGCAAAGGCGAGAGCCTCATTCTGAAAACGGCCTGCCCTCCATCCGTGAAACTGTCGCACACGTCAAGCTCTAAAGGGTCTTACATGATGCGGAAGTTTCAGGCGAAACGCCCGGCTCGTCCTATCGACCAGTCTCGGCGTGCGACAGGGAGGAGTTGTTGATAAGGGGAAGGAATGGAGGAGGATGAAGGAAGAAGGAAGAAGGAGGAGGAGGAGGAGGAGGAGGAGGGACTGCCCAGGATGTACCCTTGGGATGCGAGTGGGCCTAGAACCACCGAAACCCATGGGGGGGCGGGAAGTTGGAGGAGGAGCAGCAGCAGCAGCAGGAGGAGGATGATGAGAAGGAGGCGGAGAAGGTTGAGGAGGTCGAGGTCGAGGATGAGGAGGGGGAGGAGGAGGAGAAGGAGGAGGAGGAGGGGGAGGAGGAGGAAAAGGAGGAATGAGAGTAGGGCATCGACCCTGGGATGAACTCACCCGCATCACCAAGGCACCGAGAAGGAGGAGGGAGGGAGAGAGGGAGGGAGGAGTAGCTCTCTGACGCCTGGCCCATGTTTTCCTCTCCAGTTCCACAGTTGCCTTTCACCCCCTCGCCCTCCAAAGTTTTGTCTTGCCTCGACGGACGCAACGAAGTCCTCTCGATGGTGAGGTGAGGTGCGGGGCTGTTCAGGTCGGGCCACCTGTCGACCCAGACTCGAGCGGACCTCGGACCACGGAGAAGCCTTTGCCTCGCCCGCGGCTGGACCCCGCCGCGGCAGGACCGCGAGCTTGCCCTGCAGCTGGCCTGCGAGGCGCCTGGAGCTCTCCGACGGCGGCGGCGGCGACGATGACGCGCGCGATGCGGCGAGGAGCTCTCCGACGAGGCCGGCGACGGCGGCGGGGGCCGCGGTGGCGGCGACGACGGCGGCTGGCGGCGGCGGCGGCCGGCGGCGGCCCCGGCGGCGGCGGCGGCCGGCGGCAGCGGCGCGCGAGGCGCGGGAGCTCTCCGATGAGGCCGGCGACCCCCTAGGCGAGATGGCGGCCCGCCACCTCCTCTGCGGCGCGGGGCTCAGCGCCGGTTGCACTGCGGGGGCGTGGGCAAGCAGCGGAGCTGTAATTAGCGTTCTACCTTGTGGAATCAGCGAAACAAGGAGAGTCCAACTTAGCGCGACACAACTTAAGTTAACGGCACGTGCAGGACAGGAAGTGCAAAACGCCAAAGTCAAGCAGAGAAGCCGTATTGGGAACGGCGTAACGCAGCCGTCAGCTGGGAGAGGGAGAGAGAGAGAGAGAGAGAGATGGGAAACCAACACTTTATCCTCCTCCTTCTTCTCCTCCTCCTCCTCCTCCTCCTCCTCCTCTTCCTTCTTCTCTTCCTTCTCCTCCTCCTCCTCCTGCTCCTCCTTCTCCTCTTCCTACTCTTCCTCCTCCTCCTCCTCCTGCTCGTCCTCCTCCTCCTGCTCCCGCTGCTCCTCCTTTCCTCCCGCTGCTTCCCCTCCTACTGCTGCTCCTCCGCCGCCTCCGCTGCTGCTATGGCCGCCGCCTGGGCCACCGCGTCTGCTTCTCTCTCTTTGCCGCCCGCTTTCCCCTCCTTACCCTCCCTTCTCTCGTGGTCCTCGTCTTCGTCCTCCTCCGTGTCCTCCTCCTCGACCTTGCCCTCCTCTTTTTCGTTCTCCTCCTCGTTCTCGTTATCCTTGTCGTCGTCGTCGTCCTCCTCCTCCTCCTCCTCCTCCTCCTCCTCCTCCTCCTCCTGTTCCGCCTCCTCCTCCTCCTCCTCCTCCTCCTCCTCCTCCTCCTCCTCCCACTCCTCCTCGTCCTCGGCCTCGTCTTCCTCCTCCTCCTCCTCCTCCTCCTTCTCGTCCTCGTCCTCGTCCTCCTCCAAGTCCTCCTCGTCCTCCTCCCGCCCTGGCCTCCTCACCGCCCACCCCCCTGAGCCGACCGCCCCCTAACGTTGCCTCTCCGTGGTGAGGCTCGGCGGTCGCCCCCTTTCCCCCCAAGCGCAGTCGCAGCGCAATGAAGGGCGCCCAGGAGCGTCTGATGATCGAGGAGGCAGCGTCGATCTCGCGTCGCTCTGGTGTCGATGTAGCGTCAGCGTCGGCCAGCGCCGATTCGCCACAGGCAGCAATATGATCTGGGAGGCTCCTGTACCTTTCGGTTTCATCTTTGGAGTGCACTAGGTGTGCGTCAGCGTTTGGTAATCGATGGGGCAGCGCCGATCTCGAGTCGCTCTGGCGTCGATGCAGCGTCGGCCAGTGCCGATTCGCCACAAGCAGCAAGTTGACCGTTTTTCGTTGTTTTTCTGCTGTGGTTCCGGTTTCGTTCTCAACGGTCGTTTCACACGGTCGGCTTCGTTTCGCCTTCGGTTCCAAACGCCAGCGCGTTTGGTCGGGGGACGAAATCTATACATATCCACTGCTCCCTGGCCAGGCCCATCCTGAACCCAGGAGCTGTGTATACGCCCTCCTGGCCAAACCAGGAGGGCGTGGCGTATACACAGCTGCTGTGTTCAGGATGGGCCTGGCCAGGGAGCAGTGGATATGTATAGATTGCGTCGCCCTATTTGGAACATCTGCTGTCCTCGGTCGCTGCAGGAATCGGCTTGCCGCCGCCGCCGCGGCCGAGCTGCCGCGCTCGCCGCCACGCCCCTCGGCCCGCGCAGTGCCTCCCCCGCGGGGCGCCGCCGCGGCGCCGCGGCGCCCCGCGCCGCGCCCGTCACGCCGCCATGGCGCCCGCGGACGCGTCTGGCTGCGCCCAGGCCGTGCGCGCGGCGCTGGAGGGCGGCGCCCTGGAGCAGCTGGTGGCCGCCCGCAGGCGTCCCGAGCGGAGGGTGTCGGAGGAGGAGAGGGTAGCCACATCGCTGCCCTGCTCCGAGTTTCTTGATGGGCGTCGGGGGGTCGTCACCCCCGCCGGCAGCCCCACATCGACCCCCGTCGCGGGCAGCCACAGCGCGCCGAAGGCGCTCCGACCCCTGTCGCGGCGCGACGACAAGGCGAGGTTGACCCCCGTCGGGAGGGTGCTCCCCCACGCTTATCAAGAAACCCGAAGCAGCCTGGTTTTCCTCTTTTTGGGCCTCCTGGGAGGCCCTCGTCGCCACCGCTCCGCGAAGTTCTGGTCAGAACGCACCCAAGGAGAGGTATTGGTACCTTTGGATTCCCCAGGGTGTGGCACGATGGACGAACAAGATCTTGCACGTTTTGTGTGAGGCAACGGGGATCTCCGAGGCGGGGATTTATCCACAATCACCGCCTGAGGGATCGATCTTCGCGGACGTCCACAGGCGGTGGATCTGGATACATTCGGGTCCTTGTGGGGCCAGCATATATCAACATCCACCGCCCGCTGGGTCCCCAGGACGTCGGTTCCCAGGCAGTGGATAAATCCCCGCCTCGCAACTACGACGTTGCTTTTCCCTGTCCATCATTTTCCTTGGCACCCACGACGACGACGACGACGACGACGACGACGACGACGACGACGACGACGACGACGACGACGACGACGACGACGACGACGACGACGACGACGACGACGACGACGACAGCGTCTCTCACACGCCGAAGGGTCGGCAGATTTTTGTACCCCACCCCTCGCCCCAATCTGATATTTGGCGGTCGGCGACGCGATGTATCGATGTGTGGCCTGGCCGAAATCCTGCACCCCTCGTTGCCGACCCCAACCACCGTTGAACCAGGGGAAGGGGGGACTCGTTGAAGTTGGTGCCAGGCACAGTGGTCGTGCGGTCGTGCAGGATTTCGTCCATCAGCCGCAGGTCGGGACACCTCCCGTCAGAGGGGGGGCGCGGAGGAGACGGAGGAGGAGGAGGAGGAGGAGGAGGAGGAGGAGGAGGAGGAGGAGGAGGAGGAGGGAGGAGGAGGAGGAGGAGGAGGAGGAGTAGGAGGAGGAGGAGGAGGAGGAAGAGGAGGGAGGAGGAGGAGGAGGAAGAGGATTTGGAGGAGGAGGAGGAGGAGGAGGAGGAGGAGGAGGAGGAGGAGGAAGCGGTACCTTCGGGCGCCTCAGGGAAGCATTTTGGCAGGTACCTTCGGGGGCGTTTCGGGGAAGAGCCATACCAGTACCTTCCTGGCGCCCCGCAGGGACGCGTCCCGACAGATACCTTCGGGCGCCCCGGGGAAGCTTCCTGGCGTACTTTTGGGCTGGGAGGCGTCCTTGAGCCGACGAAGAACGGCATAAAAGAAACTGTTCCGCCTTCGGGGACGCCTGCCCCATGGCGGCTGGAAAGTTGTATCCCGACGTGCCACCATACGGATATACATTGTCCAGCCTCCCTAGGGCAGGCGTCCCAGGCGGCGGAAACAATTACTTTATACCATTATTCGTCTGCCAAGTCCTGGCAGGTAGGTTCGGGCGATTCAGGGAAGCGCTTTTGTAGGTACCGATATACCACTACACCACTTCTCTCGTCGCCACGGCTGCATTCGCTTCGAAATTCTGGTCAGAAAGATCCCAGGGGACCGTGGAGTAGCTGTATCGGTGTCCTTCTGATCCCTCAGCAGGGAGGCGTCAGATGGGCTTCATGCATACACGTCGTCTGGTCGGCCGAGGAGCCAATGAGTTCTTCCAAGGAATTCGGTGTATAGGCGCTGCCGTGCCCCACAAGTTTGGGAAGCTGGGGCGTCTGCGCACCGAGCTCCTTGGCCGACCAGACGACTTGGTACGTACTCTGGGCCCCTCCCAGAGCGGAGGTGGGTGGCAGGGGGGTGTCGGACATCGGACATCGGACGACGGATTTGCTGCTGTCGCCAGCGAGGGCGTCGCGGGTGGCGCCGCAGTACCAGACATGTGAGAAGCTGGGGAGCATATCAGCAAAGACGTTGAGTGGTCAAATATGCACGGCAGTCAGAGCGGGAGGCTTGAAGGTAGTCGGCGCCTTCCGTGGACCCCTTCGCCGCCCCCCAGTCCGTGACAGGCCGCGCAGTTGGGTCGGGGAAGTGGGATGCGATAGGGGATGGGAGGATGCGCAGGAGGGGCGAGAAGAGGATGGGGGAGACGATCGATCCGCTGCTGTGCCGCCAGCCTCGACAGGGCCGGCGATCGATGAGGGCCAGTGGGCGGAAGGCGCCACAGCGCCTCGATCGGCTCTCTCCGCTGGGGCGGCGGCCCAGGCATCGGGCGGGCAGGAAGACACCGACATGTTTGTTTATTCAATAGCCTTCGGCCTATCTTTAGGTCGGGCATGTCCCTCTGCAGGAGGAATGTTCAAAAATAGTCAAATATAGTATGGGGACGACTTTGGAGTATTGTTGAGTTTTTTTTGATTTTTTCACAACCCTCCTTGGTTGGGTATTCGTTTTGAAGAGAGCAGTGTGGTCTCCACTCCCTCCTTCCTTCCTTCCGCCTCCCTCTTGCCCCCTCCTGTCTTGCCTGCGGGGGGCTGCGATCTGTGAAACTGTCGCCACTTTCGAGGCCTGCTGGGGGGCCCAGCACAGTGACGCCACGGGCGGATTCAAATTAGACCTCGCCATCCCTGGGGGGCTGCGATCTGTGAAACTGTCGCCACTTTCGAGGCCTGCTGGGGGGCCCAGCACAGTGACCCACGGGCGGATTCAAATTAGACCTCGCCATCCCTGGGGGGCTGCGATCTGTGAAACTGTCGCCACTTTCGAGGCCTGCTGGGGGGCCCAGCACAGTGACGCCACGGGCGGATTCAAATTAGACCTCGCCATCCCTGGGGGGCTGC